CCCCCCCGCCCCGCCTCACGTGATCGCGCCCGAGGAGAAAACGCCTGACCGCAGCCCCCGGCCTTCACGGCGCAGCAACAATTTTTGCTTGCAGCTCCTCAGCCTTTCGCCCTTAGGTCGGCTGCGCGTGTCTCGGGGTTTCCCCCGGAGCCCTGTCCGCCATGCGGCTCCTGCCTCCCGCCCCAGGTGGGCCCGGGCGGGACAGCCCCCGCCACCTGCCCGCCTGCAGACCTGTCCTGCTGCTGGTGCTGCTGCTGAGCGGCTGCCCCGGGCCTGCGGGGGTGGCGGCTGGCTCTCGGAGGCCCAACGTGGTGCTGCTGCTCACCGACGACCAGGACGAAATGCTCGGTGGCATGGTAACTCCTGTCTCTGCCCCGTCCCTTCCTCTCCCCCGCTGACTCTCAGGCTTCTTACACGTTCCCTGCCATCACCCCCCAGTCTGGCCGCCTTGACCCTGGTGGGTGCCAGTCGAGGCCTTCATGCAGGTTTGATGGGCCCCGGAGTGTTTCCTCTTGTGGGTTGACTCACATGCACGCACCACAGGGCACTTCTAGTTTGGACCGTACTACTGCGGAGTTCGCATTCGCGTCTCAAAGTATACGTGTGGTCGCCGGTTAATGACCCCTTGGACCAAAGGAAGAACAGGTGCTGGGAAGAGCATATAGGCCCTGGTTGGTTGTTTGGTTTTTGTTTTTGTTGTTTTTGTATTAGAGCATCGGGGGCCAAGTCCAGCCCCCCACCCCATGAAGGACGTAGGCCACCTCTGCATTTGTGCCATTGTACAATGTCCGCCTGCTATCTATAAGTACTGAAATGAACTAATCCAGTTGAATAGTTGAGAGTGTTTTGCTTCACAAGAATCAAGAAAATTCAATTAGCCTAATTGAACACCTGGCCGAACCACTAGCTACTGTCAGTGTTTCATTTTGTATGTAATGAGTGTTGTCGTGAGACTTCTTTCCCAGAGTTAATTTTGCTCTTGTATCTTGGACTTCTGGAATTTATGACCTTTGAAAATATCCACCCCAATCCCTCACAGAGGCCCGAAAGGGGCTTGCATGACAGCAGTTAACTTTCAGCTCAAGGCAGTCAAAACCACCTCAACTGATCCTCTCCTCTAATCCTGATTCCAGTTTGCCTCATCATTTTTTTTCAAACAAATCCTTTTTTTTTTCTTTTATTATTTATATGTGTATACAAGGTTTGGGTCATTTCTCCCCCCTGCCCCCACCCCCTCCCTTACCACCCACTCCGCCCCCTCCATCCCCTCCCCACCCCCTCAATACCCAGCAGAAACTATTTTGCCCTTATTTCTAATTTTGTTGTAGAGAGAGTATAAGCAATAATAGGAAGGAACAA